GTGGTGTTCCGTGTCAGAATTGATGGCAACAGGTGACATTGCACAAAATACAGAAGACTAAATTTCCCCTAAGTGAGGATGCCTCACTAGAAAATGACTGTCACAGAATTAGAGTTGTCAAGCATACAGGCTTTAATGAATAGCTTGTTTTTCATGATTGAGAGTGATCTTAATCACGTTATGGCCTAGAAGAATCAATCTAGAAAATGTTGCTTAAAAATAGCAATTTAAAACATATCGGTATTCCAACAATTTATATCATAGGTATATTTTCATGCCTATAATTTATCTCTTCTATAAGGTATGCATTTACCTCTGGGACCTTTTGAGCAATCTTTATGGTAGTGTATTAAGATATTCTAGCCATTCTAAAGAAAGACTTGGCTTAGAAAGCATTCACTTCATCTCCTATAGAACTAAAACTAAAATCAGAAAGTCCCATCTTTAAAGCAGTACAGTTCTTAACTTATTTAGCGACTAAATTTCCATCAGTTACCTTTTATGTGTAGATTTAAAACTCTATGTCAGCACCTAGCACTTGGTAAGGGCTACTAAATGGCAGTGCTTATTATCTGTCTCAGCATGCAGTTCAACAGGAAATCCTAGGGTTGGTGGTCAAGGTCATTGGGAAGAAAGAGCCATGGTCATCTTTTTCTGTCAAGGCTAGGAGATGCCTTGATTGGGCTTGTTGATGACGACAACACTGTTATATGAATCTCTAGTCACACCTTTCTTTCTCAAGAGGCAATGCTATTTCAGACACCTGGGTGGATACAACCACCACCTCTTTTTATATCTTGCTTTTGGAAGATAAGGTGTTTTGAGGGGAAAGAATACTCTAGGAGCAAAGGCAAGAATATTCTAGGAGCAAAGGCAAGATACTCTAGGAGCAAAGGCAAGAATACTCCTCTAGGAGCAAAGGCAAGATACTCTAGGAGCAAAGGCTCCCGCAGGGATTGCGTCAAGTGAGAAATCCTGGAGGCAACAGGTCATGCATCTTTCTGCTTTCTCTTGTGCAACGTATCTTCCCACACGTCACAGGCCCTGTTTCTTCTTTTACCTCCTGACTAAGGTCTCTACCTAGAAGTGAGAGCTAAAGGAAAGCACATGAGTGACATTGTGCAACTTTTCTAAGTGACACCCGGATTTTCCTGCCTCCGAGTCCTGTCACTTTCGATTTTCAAAAGAGCACCCGTGGTCTGAAAGTTTAGGGAGGAACCTTAGGGGGCTGCGAGTGGATGTGAAC